TACATCCATGGAACTAAAATATATCGAAACAAACATGAATCAGAATTTATGTAGGATTGGAAAAGAGAAATAGAGAATGTTAGCGAAAAACCATTAATATGGATATATGGTTTGATTCATTTTGAAAAAAGGAAATTTAATTAAAACACAAATTTAATCTTAACTTTAATTTTGATTTTAATTTTAGAAGAAAAAATTAACTCCAATTTTAAAATGTCTTAGTTTTAATCTTGAAAAATCTCTGGTTTTAATATTTTAGCAAAAGGCCACATTCGATTACTAAAAAATTTTTTAACTTTAATTCTTAAAGGAATGTTTAGTAGTTAAAAAATCTGTTTTAATTTTTTTTTATAAAAGTTTTAATTTAACATTTTAAAAAAGATTTAAATAAAAAACAAAGTTAGTTCAAGTTACAAAAGTTTTGATTAAAAAAAATTAGTTTAAATTTAATAACGTTTTAATTTAATTTAGAAAATGTTTATGTGTTAGAGAAAAGAACAAAACTATTGACATTCCCTTTCATTTTACATAGAATACAAATCAACATAATAAAAATAATCAAAAAAACCCAGGATAAAAACCGAAAGGGTTGGGCCAGTCATCACATCCGGACCCAACCCGGTCCAATATATAAAACGGCCGAAAAAGGGAGTTAGGGTTCAGAAACCCTAAATCGCGTGCGGCAGCCGCTTGCGTGAGAACTCCTCTTCTTCGTTCTCTTTTCACCTCTCCTATCTTCTCCCTTCTCCCGCTCTGGTTCGTCCATGGTTTTCGTTCCTCTTTTCTGCACATGAACACAAACAAACATTAACCATGTGAAAAACACGACGACTTACGATGAGCAGCTCTCGGCGGTGGCTTTGGACGATTGGTTGGCCAAACGAAGCTATTGAGGCGATGATGATGTCGAAGGACACTCCTCTTTCTGAGCCTCCGCTCGAACACCTGCGGTAGTGGACTTCTCGAGGGTTCTACGACCATCAGACGTCGTTCTTCTGGGTTTGCTTTGGTTCTAGATCGAAAGCCGCTGTTTTGGTTTACCACTGCCGTAAGAACTCCTCTTCTTGGTTCTCTTTGCTTCGACGATGATGAAACCCTTGGGGTTTTTCTGAGTTCGGCAATGTTGATGGATCTGAGCCGCCATTTTTTGATCTCTTTTCCGAACTTCGTTAGGTTTCTTCGAACTCTCCTCACGGTAATATTTGTATCACTCTTTTTGTGTGAGTTGTGGGCTATTGTGATTCCTCTGGATTACTATATTTCCGGCGATATTATTTGGCTTGTTTGAACTGGCTTTTCCGGAAACGTAGCGTTTCGTTTGACATTTTCACGGATGACTTGTTGTAGTGTTTGAACGGCCTGTGAACTGGTGTAAATCAGTTTAAACTATTTTTTCGGTTTACTTCCTGAACTGGTTTTGTTTTCATAAACTGATTTTGTTTTGATACAGGGTTGGATTTGCTATTGAATCTGGATTTCAATCCCTTCTTGGATATCCAGACGGTTTACCTGATAGCAAAATGGATTTGGATTTAGATATCCAGATATCTGGTTCCAGATTTGTTCGATATTTGGTTCTACACTCTGGATTTTGCTCGCCGACGCGAATTGATTCTTCTGAAACAGCTCGGGTTCAAACCTATTGGCATCTGGGTTTGAATTCGAATTTCCAATTATTTACTTGATAGAAAACCGAATATGGATTAAAATCTGTTTTGCTTGCAAATCCATTTCCGAAATAGACGCTTATCCGATAATCATTTTTGGCCGGAAGTACTTCTTTTCCTCTTCTTCTCGGCTGTCCCGAAAGGACAGATACTACCGGTTCGACGCCGAGGTAGGGGATTGGAATGGGAGTCGGTCGCGGCTTTTATCGTGCCCTCCCGACACCCTGTGATGACACTGTTCTGAGGGTGTCAAAATATTTCCTAACTCATTCCTGCTTGTTTTGATTTTCTGTGTGCAGGTACAAAAAAGTCGGGTGAAAAAACGGCATGAAGTGTCGGGCTCGAAAAATAATCAGAAGAAATTTAGAAAAATAGGAACTTTTTAGAATAAGAAATAAAATGTAATTTAAGTTCCTTTTTGTAAATTGTAATAAAAGAAATAAATATGAATACAATATTCACACTATTTTTCTATCCAAATTACTTTGTATGATTTCCTTCCATTACCTTCTTGTCAACCGAGTGATTTATCTAACAATCCGATTAAACTCTAATGAATGATTACCTCCGAATAAACTAGACCGATTAAAATTTAATCGATTACACTTAACAAACGGATTAAATTCTCCATGTAAATTTAATACGAATAATATTTCAGAATAAATATCTGTATCGACTCATGTCCCCACTACACGCTGCTCTGCTCTAAACTGACGTGACTTTCAAACTGTAGTCACCTATTTTTCCAAACGGAATCGGACCTGATGATAGAACCGTACGGGCCCTGAACGAAGAGAAACAACAAAAGCAGAGAAATTCACTTACGGCAAAAACAGAACTAATTTCGTGCTAAAAAACCCATCATGTCTCTCTGATGACTAAATCTTATGTCCCGAACTGAGCCAAAAATTCATAATCAACTGGATATGATGACTCCCGACTTGAGTCGGAACTGTCAACTGCTTTTCTTTTAATTTTTGAAAAATTGAACGGCAGATAGTAGAAGAAACAGAAAAATGAGTGCCTGTTAAAACAAATTCTACAGAGTGAATTCTCGCACTGCTTTGAACCACACCACTGACATCTCAACGTAATCAGCCTTATATGATAAGACAACATCTCAGAGATCCTCTGACACCAAAGTCTCAACCTTTGAATGAATTACTGTGTCTCGAAGATTCTGACGTCAAAATTACTTGTAAAATTCCGCTCTACCTCAAATGAAATAAGGAACTCGTAAATAGAGATCCTAATTATTTGAGGGATTACTAACAATGACCCTGCTCCCTAAATTGTCAGCAAATAGTGAATAAATGACCATTTCTCCCTTCAACAGTTAAAGTGCGCCTGATGTGATTCTCCTGCAAAATAAATAGACTGCGTAACCTGTTAGTAGTTAGCGGATGCAAAAATGAGATGCTATGCGATATGAATCGACTAATCTGAGGGTAAAATTTGGGGTATTACATGCGTACTTGTATCGAGGAATCATCTTGATTTACTAGAGAGGGAGGAAGGAGAAATGAGATGCTGCTGTTGGAAATGAAATGCAGAGATGCAAAACAGATGCGATGCAATGCAATGACATATATGCAAATACAATATTAAAGATGCAATGCAAGATGCAAGATCCAGGATCATGGGATCACAGGTTCAAACAATTTTGAAGCTGGTTACAGTAACAGGTTGGTAACCAAAGTTTTTTTTTATCAAAGAAACCTTACAGGTAAACCCTATTCGGGAGGATCTATGTTCTTTACCCATAAACCCGCTCACGAGATGGTTCTTACGTTGATGGGTAGGGTTCCAAAGATCACGAACATTAATCACATCAATGTCATGCAACAGGCTAGTTGTATTACGAAGATAATGATGACAAGTCCTCTCTTGAGCGGAGTCCTCATGCTAGGCACACAAGGAGTGAGTCCTCGGAGACTAACACTACACGACCACCAGTATGGAACTGGTGCTAAAAGGGTTCCCAGAATCACAGACCCTTCATGAATCAAATCGTGCAACAGGCTAACTGTGTTACAACAAGATCTACGAATAGGTCTCCTCTAGGGGAGCTTTCGTGCTAGGAACACAAGGCACAAGTTCTTAGGGACTAAAACTATTCGACTACCAATTCTAAACTATGTGTTCTCTCTGCTTTTACTAAAGCTCGGGTGTAGATCCCACTACAAGAAAAAAGGAGATTTACGACACTTGAGTTGCGACAGTTATCACAAAACCGTCCTTATTCCTGGATTGCGACGGTTGTCACGACAGTTAGGGTCAACTGTCGTAGATTTTTTGCGACAGTTATCAAAAAGTCGTCCTTATTCCTGGACTATGATAGTTCTCGCGACGGTTTGAGCCAACCGTCGCAGATTTTTTAGGCATGTTGTATAAAATAATGCGACAGTTACTAAAGAACCGCCCTCTTTTCACACTCGCGACAATTAAGGTGAACTGTCGCAATTACTTTATCCAATCATAATCACTATTTTTTTATTCCTTCAATTTTCTAATTTTTTCTTCATTTTTATTTTCTAACCTTTTCAATTTTATTAATTAATTTAATAAATAATTATTATAATTATTATAATTTTTATGACAGTGTAGTTTAATATTTTCATCTAAAATAATAATAAAATATTTTCTATTTTATTATATAGATAGTTAATTTTTATTAAAATTAATTTTGGTAACAATAACCGACCTTGCTCAAATTTATGAATAGTGTTCCACCTCCTGTCATTTTTCGATACCACCTTTTTAATTCACGTGGCTATGTTTCTAGCTTCTACTCCATTTTTAATTTTCTTTCAGAATTGTAAACCTTGTACTTTAACCAAAGAAACTGAAACCATATTCCATTTAACAAAAATTGCAAAATGACCGTGTTTTATCCAACCTCAGAATCATAAAGTCATTCTTCTCTCATATCTCATGCACAAAGATACTCAGCCTAGGTATGTTTTACCCGCGCATTTATATTTTGTATTTCTCTGAAAATGTTTGTTTTGATTTGGGGATTTAGGGTTTACTCTTTTTAATGCCCATGGAATAATTTATTGGTTCATTTTCTTTTGATTTTGGGGTTTAGGTTTTGTTCCTTTTATTCCCAAACTACTGGTACTACATATGTCTATTTCAGGAGGATTTTTTGGTTTAAGAGAAACGTTTCAGGCTATGATACTGATAGAAGTGGTGTAATGAATTTCAATGAACTCAAAGCTGGTCTAAGAAGATATGTGTAAAACCTTTTGTTTGATTTACTTTGAAAATAATGACCTATTGTTGCTTGTTTCTTTACTTCAATTTACATTGTCATCCATTTGTTTGTTTATGTATGTTGAGAAAAAGAAAGGGCTTGATGATGAGAAGAGTTTGGTTGAGAAGAGGTTGAAGGAGTTTGAGTTTGCTATGGAGTCCATTTTACAGCACCTGGAAGAGAGTAACATAGTGGAGAGTGGTGAAGATTTTGTTCCTGTGTTAAGTTTTGATGGAAATTTTGATTGGAAGAAGATTCACAGCCTTATTGTTAGGGAGCTTCGGAGACTTGAAGAAGGATTGCCCATCTATGCTTATAGGCAGGAAATTCTTCCGCAAATACATCATCAACAAGTATCGTTCTATATGTGCTTGAAAAAATATTTTTTTTATTGTAATTCGTTCAACAAAAGATATCTTATATGCGCTTGAAAAATCTTTTTTTTTTTTTTTAATTGTAATACGCTCAACAAAATATATCTTCTTATATGTGCTTGAAAATATGTTTATTTTTTTGGTTGTAATTCTATTAACAACAAGTATCTTCTATGTGCTTGAAAAGATGTTTATTTTTTTGTTGTAATTTATTCATCTGATCATGGGAAGATACATAAGCTTTTGTATTTGTTGGTTGTGCAACAAAAATACATTTTTTTTTGCCAATGCATATTATTAGTTATGTTTGAATTTTTTTGTGTGTGTGGTTGTTCTTATGAGTAAAATTTGTGCAGATAACTGTGTTGATCAGAGAGACTGGTTCTGGGAAGAGTACTCAAATAGTGCAGTTTCTAGCTGATTCTGGCATTGGGGCTGATGGGTCAATTGTGTGCACCCAACCTCGCAAGATTGCAGCCAAGTCATTGGCTCAAAGGGTACAGGAGGAAAGTAGTGGATGTTATGAAGAAAGTTCTATACAGTGTGTTTCTACATTTTCATCAAGTAAGAAGTTTGATTCCAGGATATCATTCATGACAGATCACTGTTTATTGCAGCGGTACATGGGCGATAGAAATTTGTCTGGAGTGTCGTGCATTATAGTTGATGAGGCTCATGAAAGGAGCTTAAATACAGATCTACTGTTGGCATTGATAAATAATTTACTATGTAAGAGGGTTGATTTGTGCCTTATCATTATGTCTGCTACAACTGATGTAAAACAGCTATCGGATTATTTCTATGGCTGTGAAGTTTTTCATGTAAATGGGAGAAACTTCCCGGTTGAGATGAGATATGTTCCTTCTAATTATGGACATCATTCTGGCTCTGCTGCTGTGGATTCCTATGTTGTTGATGTTGTCAAAATGGCAACAGAGATTCATAAAATAGAGAAGGAAGGAACCATTCTTACCTTTCTGACCTCACAGGTAGAAGTAGAATGGGCTTGTGAAAAGTTTAAAGTCCTATCTGCTGTTGCTCTGCCCTTGAATGGAAAACTTACATCCGAAGAGCAATTTCATGTTTTCCAGAACTATCCTGGAAAAAGTAAAGTGATATTTTCAACCAATCTTGCAGAGACATCAATTACAATTCCTGGTGTCAAGTATGTGATAGATTCTAGGTTGGTTAAAGATTACCGATTTGATCCTTGCACTGGGATGGATGTACTTAAGGTTTGTTGGATCAGCCAGAGCTCAGCTAATCAAAGGGCTCGTCGTGCTGGGAGGACTGAGCCTGGCAGGTGCTATAGGATGTACTCAGAAGCTGATTATCATTCTATGGAACTAAATCAAGAACCTGAGATTCGGAGAGTTCATCTTGGTGTAGCAGTTTTGAAGATCCTTGCTTTAGGGGGTGAAGAATGTGCAGGATTTTGATTTTGTGGATGCTCCAAGCCCTAGTTCTATTGAGATGGCGATCAGGAATCTAATTCAACTAGGATTCATTAAACTGAACAATGATGTTCATGAGCTAACTTATGAAGGTAGGTACTTGGCAAGAATGGGGATTGAACCTAGGCATGGTAAACTTATTCTTGGCTGTTTCCAACTTGCTATGGGTAGAGAAGGTGTTGTCCTTGCTGCCATGATGCCCAATGCTAGTAACATATTTTGCAGATTTGGTAATGAAGGAGATAAGCAAAGATCTGATTGTCTCAAAGTACAATTTTGCCATTCTGATGGTGACCTTTTTACACTTCTCTCTGTGTACAAAGAATGGGAGGCTCTGCCTCGAGAGAGGAGGAATAAGTGGTGTTGGGAAAATAGTATCAATGCTAAATCTATGAGGAGATGCCAAGACACAATTTTCGAGTTAGAATCTTTTCTAGAGCGTGAACATGGCTTTGTTGTTCCAAGTTACTGGCGTTGGGATCCTAATACACCTTCTGTTCATGATAAGAATATGAAAAAGGTTATACTGGCCTCACTTTCTAAAAATGTAGCCATGTTTTCTGGATGCAATCAACTTGGTTATGAAGTAGCACAAATTGGACAACATGTTCAACTGCATCCATCTTGTTCCTTGACTTTGAGTATGGTCAATCGTGAGATAATTAGGTAAGTAACTAGAGTATGGTCAATACTGAGATAATTAGGTAAGTAACTAGAGTAACTAGAGTATGGCCAAAGAAGAGCCATGCAACCCACTTTGATTCAGAAAGCTGCTGCAACATTGGAGAGAGAATTCAGGTAACACATTGAAGAAAAAACAGTGAAAATTAGGCTAAGGTGGTTTGAGCATGTGGAGAGAAGACCCAAAAATTCTGTTGTTTGGAGAGTAAGTCAGATGGAGGGTAGTCAAATTCCTAAAAGCAGAGGAAAACCTATCAAAACTATAAGAGAAGGCTATCAGTTGGATAGAGATATGATATATAATATGACCCAATATTATGGCTTTGTTTGATTTGATCCATGTAGTTGACCTTACTCAGTGGGATAAGACTTGGTTGTGTTGTTGTTGTATTGATGGCTATGTTTATTTGTTTTTGTTGTTAATCCTTAGTTGTTATCTTTGATGAATGCTTCATTGAAGTTTCAGTAGCAGCTTGCACTGCTTGTCTCTCAATGTTTAACTTAATGTTAATTGGATTTTTGCAGCTCCTGCTAGGCTTCCAGGGTTCCATACCTGTGTTGGAAGTGGGGGAGAAAGATTGCTTCCAGAGTGGTACAGTGAGAAAGGTGACTTTGGTTTTCAACCCATCATTTTAATTCGGCATTATAACTGGATTGTTTTCAGAATAATTACCGGGTTATTGTGTCAAGTTAAAGGAAGAGATAAGTAAATATAAGAATGGTCATTAACAATGGTTATCTGATACTGAATTTCAAATTAAACTGATGATTGCAGGGATACAGTTGTATCTCAATACATAAATTGTAAGTGCAGACCTTGCTGCAAAATTTCTGAAAAGTGCAAAAAGAGAACACTTCGATTACCAGACTTTGGTTATCGCAACAGGCTCAGCTGTAAGGCTTCTTGTTAATATTATAGATGTTCCATATTGCGTGTACATATTTCACATCCGTTTAGGGCAAACTAATATTAATACTAATAATTTTGTTTCGCAGGTTATAAAGTTGTCAGATTTCGGTGTAGAAGGAGCTGGTGCCAAAAATATATTTTACTTGAGGGAGGTTGATGATGCTGACGAATTGTACGAGGCAATCAAAGTAAATAAGAATGGAAAAGTTGTGGTTGTCGGAGGAGGATACATTGGAGTTGAGTGCAGTTTTGAAACTCAATAATGTTGATGTTACCATGGTCTACCCAGAACCTTGGTGTAGTAAGTGGACATTTATAAATGTTTCTTGTTACATATCTCACTCACATTGATCTGTGCATACTAAACTTTTAAACTAATCCTTTTAAAACCAATATTGCAGTGCCAAGACTTTTTACTTCTGAAATTGCTTCTTTCTATGAGGGATATTATGCCAATAAAGGTATCAATATCATTAAAGGGACAATTTCTATTGGATTCACTTCCAACTCCGATGGAGAGGTATGGTTGCATGTGATCTTGGAATACTTTCATGTAATGGTGTTTTAAAATTCTTAATCAAATTTAACTTGACTTTCATGCATCTGTCAGGTAAAAGAAGTCAAACTAAAGGATGGTAGTGTCTTAGAAGCAGATATTGTTGTTGTTGGTGTTGCAGGAAGGCCTCTAATATCCTTATTCAAAGGGCAGGTTGATGAGCAGAATGGTGGAATCAAGGTTAGTGATTCCATATCCAAAGGCTTCTATCAAGCTTTAGTAAACCCTTTAAGTTGTGATTAATTAATCTTAATATCGATATCAATCAATGATAGCATTTGTTGTGGTTGCAGACTGATTCCTTCTTCAAAACAAGTGTTCCTGATGTATATGTCGTTGGTGATGTTGCTACCTTCCCTTTGAAATTGTACAATGACGTGAGAAGAGTTGAACACGTTGATCATGCTCGTAAATCAGCTGAGCAAGCTGCAATGGTAATCAACTTCCCTACAAATTTATGCTTCTCCAATTATGCACAACACATGTATCATTTTCCTTGATGTACCCCCTTGGTCCGACACCTATTTTTGAAATCACTTTGTTTCTTGATTTTGTTATAATATTTTTCATACATGCCATCATTGCAGCAGATGCAGGAAAAACAGTTGAAGAGTATGATTACCTTCCATACTTCTATTCCCGTTCTTATGGAAAACATTGCATACTATTTCACCCACCATCTCTATCTTTCTCTGTTTTTCTTGGGGTATGATATTTATTAGTCTTGTTGTCAACCGGTCCACTTTTTAAACAATAGAATGAAAGCTTTAATCTGTTTATCATACAAAAATATCCGGACAACTATATGGAGATTTATTTCATTTCGCTTCATCTAATCCATCCCATTCTACCCCACCATTAAATACATAATTAAACATAGACTAATTTTTTGTATACCAATATCTTAATATTATGATGTGGTAAATATGCATTTTACATTTAACTATTTCTAACATGCACAAATCTTTCCACTATCAATTAACATTGTTATTGGATAATGTTACAGGCTTTGAAGCCATGTTTGCAGATCTTTGCTACTTTTCTGTTGGAGCAGTTCAGGTAATGAATCATCTATCATGGCTTCTGGTTAGACTTTATTTATTTCTTTGGTCATATCAAATTATACATTGATGAAACTGATGATGGTTTGTTTGCAGCTCACATTTGTGTTCCTTGTTTTGTCGTGCCGACTATTGGGTTATTTGGGTCAAGCTGCATACCTTATGGAACACCATGTTGATGCTGGCGAGGCCTTTTTTTTCTTCTATTCCAAGTAGGTGTCAGTGTGTGTATAGTTGTGTTTTGCATTCCTTACAATGTCTTTACACTTCACATAAGCTTTGGTGTAATACTGTTCTTTGTCTATAGGTGGTGTATTCTGGCCAACTTTTCTCATTGCTAATATTGTTGCACTTATTGCAAGTAGGACTATGACAACAGCTACATTTTCTTGCATAAAACATTCAAATGCTCTTGGTTGTTTCCCGCGTCTTAAAAAAATTCACACATCTCAGAAGTTTATGGGTCAAATCTACATTCCTGTTATAAACTGGTTCCTGTTGGCTGTTTCTGTGGTGTTTGTCTTCTCTATATCTAGCATTGATGAGATTGGAAATGTAAGTGATGCCGTAAGTTTAGTGGGATTGACTATGTAGAATAGGTTCTTGCGAAACTTATGGTGCTGCTATTAATTGGAAAACACTGAAATTCACTCTTAATATTTCTCTTTGGATGTCGTTGACTATAGTGGAAGAATAGTAATAATGGAGGCAAGATAGAGCCTTGTTTAAGAGGACCCAATTCTTTGGTTCTACCTTCAATATTGTTGTAATATATCATATATATTATTAACATAACATAAAAGAGTATTTTTTTTCAGCCTATTCCTTTGTCATCTTTCAGACATTGCTGAACTAGCGTTGATGATGACCACCATTTTAGTCACTCTCGTTATGCTTCTTATATGGCAGATGCACATCATCGTAGTGTTGAGTTTCCTAGTAGTATTCTTGGGTTTGGAGTTGGTTTTCTTTTCATCCGTTTTGTGGGGAATAACAGATGGAAGTTGGATTATATTGGTCTTTGCTATAATAATGTTTTTTATAATGTTCGTCTGGAACTATGGAAGCAAGCTCAAGTATGAAACTGAAGTCAAGAAAAAGCTGTTGACGGATTTAATGCGAGAATTGGGCTGCAATCTTGGGACAATACGAGCTCCTGGAATTGGTCTACTTTATAATGAGTTGGTCAAAGGAATTCCAGGAATTTTTGGGCATTTTCTAACTACACTTCCAGCAATTCACTCCACAGTTATATATGTGAGTATCAAGTTTGTTCCGGTTGCTATGGTTCCTCAAAATGAAAGGTTTCTATTTTGACGAGTCTTCCAGAGAAGCTATCATTTATTTCGTTTTATTGCCAGGTAACAAGTGCTACAAGTCCGTAATACTTCTTAGTAACATGCTAAAAATACTATAGCTTCAAATAAATATCTCAAAGGAATAAGTTAGTGATGTAATATTGGGAAAATTTACAGATATATTAGCCACTCCTTTGGGTAGTCTGTTAGCTCATGAAAATACAGTATTTTTTATGAGACTATCATGTTTAGTAATTTTCTCAGTACCTTCCTTGTCATTAAAATATTTTGTTATCTTATATGTCTGATCTGAACATTTATAATATCGACAGGTATGGTTACAAAGATGTTCACAAAGAAAATCACCAAGCTTTTGAACAGCTTTTAATGGAGAGTTTAGAGAAGTTTATACGCCGTGAGGAAAGAAGCTCATTTGTTCCAGGTGATGATGAAACATGGTGGGTGAAGAATAGTTTGAA